TGAACAATCATATAAGTCATGTTTGATTTATAAGATGGTCAAAATTTGCCCAATGCAGTCACTGTGGCCACAGATGAAGGCAACATGTTCTAGTTTTTCATGCTGCAAATGAGGCCAGGAGTGGGGTAGAGACTGGACAATACCAAGTGTGATGGGCTTTGTCCACTTTCAGTTTAATTAAAGGGTAATTAAGCTAGTTTAACCTATTTCTCTGATTCAGCAAGGTCCTTCCTCATTTACTTATTTTTAATTAAAACATATGAAATTTATAAAAAAATTGTCAACACAGCTTGGAGATCAGAGATGGTGTTTGGGCTTGGACTGGACCACTAGGAAGAGAAGGTTGGTAGAAAATAATATGATATTGGAACAGAGCTCTCTGATAAGGAGCCAAGGTCACAGATGACCTCATGGACAAATTCGGTTTGGATTAATTGTCGGGCTTCTATCAGATGATGTTAGGTAAACTTATAATTTGTTTACATAGAACCATGTTCACTTGCTATTTCTAGTGGCTCCCAGCTGCCAGCTGGGATTGGGCTCTGCAGGCAAAAGCATATCATGGAAAGCAGAGGATTTGAGTCTAAGCCCAGTGCTGCACCAAAAAGTGTTAGCTAGAACCAGTAAACCTGTGACAAATTTCCAAAATATATTTCATGTATTTTATTGACACTCATTTATCTTATTTGGCACTGCCAGTGAGTGAAGGAATTTGAGTCCAGATGTACTGTTATGAACATTTGTTCAATAAATAGGCAGGGGTCAAAAGCAGCCACTGAAATATTCAGAATTATCTATGATGTACCAAAAGAGATAATTATCTATAGATAGCATTTCGTGGTAGTAGTGGAGTAGCAACTACATAGCATATCCCTGGTTTTTCTCTGCATCTATTCAGTCTATCAATTAAGCAGATACTTTTATAGCAGTCATTCCCAACGTTTTCAATATAGACTAGCTGTTACTTTTACATTATAAAATATAAAGTACTGTTTCCAGACTTAAAATAATAAGCACATAAATCTGTCAGATGTCATGTGTTAGTTATAATAATGCAAGTAGCCATGGGAACAGACATAGAATTCTTTGTTTTTATGTGATGCTTTCATAAATACACTTAACATGAATGACCACTGAATTCTCGTACTGCTTTTGTAGTTCATTAGGCAATCGTTTTGGGAATGGAGGTGTTCTCTTTGAAAAATTGATATTGATTATTGTTCAGGCCCCTGACTTTTTATTTTTCCTCTTCAGAAATATTTTCAGGAAGAGCCCTACTTGCAGATATCCAAGGAACATTTTATAGATACATGGTAGCTTGCTTTCCATAATGCAGGGTACGGTATTGAAGCCATTCCTGTAGAAATGCTGCAGCAATTGCAGAAGAGTTTTCTTTTTCTATAAAATGGTTATGAAAACAGAAACAATGTAGCACATAGCCATAGAAAAAGATCACAAGATCCATAGACATCAAAACACTAGATGTGTAATTCTTAAAGTAACAGATTCAGTTTGTGTCAAATTCCTTATAGCATTGTTTTGGCTTTATAATAATGCTTATACCTCTTTACCCGATTACACTCTATAAAGATATACAGAGTCAGAAAGGATTAATGCTATTACTCATGGAAGATCCCTAAACTGAATGAAACTAAACCTTAAATGAAAAATTATGTGCATTGGATTGTGCTGCACTGGCCTTAAACAAAAATTTGCACTGGCCCATTGCTATATAAAATATTCCTTTTTTTCCAGAAATAATGCTGTAACTAGAAGTGCGTATACGGTACGTGTTTGATTGCTCCCTCACTTGTATGAAAGTTCTTTGAAGGAAGTTGCTAACACGTATATGATTTATAAAAAGAGAGGACATTTTCCAAATTCTTAACATACTATTTAGGAGATAAATATTTTGGGGATTATTTTAAGCTTCATTAATTTTTAAACTCTTGCTTGGAAACTGAATATGGTATTGCATTAAATTGATTATTTTAATGCCTTATAATTGCCACTGATATTTGACTCCCCCTCCCCCCTTTCATTTTCTTAAACTACAGAAGTGCTGTATAGTAAGGGAAAACACAATACCGTAACCGCAGGTAGCAAGAAATTAAAGGCAGACTAGAACATAGAAATCTGATTTAAGTAAGAGGTTGGAAACTAGGATGTAATCCAGATACTAAAGAAGAGAAGCATCTTCTTACATTCCTGCCATTGAAATGCTGCAGAAGATGAATGGAGCAATCCATCCCCCCTCCATCAAAGTCTATCAGATTGGTCAAATTTGTTGCAAGCTAAGGTTCACATGTTGATTTCTAAACAAGAAAATCTGAGTTCACATGTATATAAAAATATTGCATACAGCTTGTTTACATGGAAAATAGTTGGAAATTTGACTAAACACAGAAAGTTATAACTACAGTATTAAGAAACATTTTAAAAATTGTAGTTCTATATTGGAACTCAAATAAAAAGAACATTAAAATACTTCATAAAAATACATTATTTGTTGTTAACGTCATACCACAGAATCTGCTAAATGCTCTGCAAGCTACTATAATCACTTCACCGTGGTTGTACACATGTACTAAATTAACTTATGTGGTAATACAAATTAATATAATGATTATGCTAAAGATAAATGTATACTTCCTGTAAAAGGAAATATATCCTCTAATAGGTAAGTTCAATTCTGTGTTAATGATCCAATTGAGCAAATCTTCTGCAGGCTTATTTTCTCTTCCGGTTTTATACAAGAGTCTTGAGACAAAAAAAAAACCCAGCTGTTTTCCATATTAACTTTGCTACTTTATCAGTTAATAAACAGAGTCATTTCACACATTTTGACTTGCCTGCAATTTTGGAAAATAAATTGATGATATTTGGAAAACTAAAGAATGATACATTAAATTGTTTGCTGCATAAATGTTGTAACAAATAGAGGACAATTTCCAAGAGTCCATAGGTATCTTAGATCAATAGGAGAAAAACCTTTATATGATGGATGCAGCTCCAAGAAGCCAAATAAATATGAAATCTGAGGAAATATTTGGCAGTTGCCATTTTGGTTTAGATTGTAGTACATGTTACTGGATCAAGCTCTTCTAAGTTATTGTGTTTTCACATCAGGTACCAAATATCTTTGAAAATTCTTAAGCAAATGGTGAACATATTTTCGTCCCAAATTATTTGTCCCTGGAATATGATATCCAACATTCAAATCCTTTGAACATGGAGGTACTTATAACTAATTAACATAAACTTACCTTCCCAAGTCTGGCACTTTATACAGTGCACATATGTTATGACTGCATCATGCAAATTCCCAGCTATGGGATACCATTGTATCTGAAGGACTATAGGTTTGAAAAACTATCACAAAGCAATCTGTGCTTGAATATATTATAAGTTATCAAACATGTCAGCTTACAGTTCTTTATCTTTTTATTGCTATTTTGAGTTAGATATTAATCAGTTAAAATACCTCTCCGTTCTCTTTGCTATCCTTACTACATAATACTAAAAAAAAACAACTCCAGGGTAATCAAATGACACAGTGAATCATTAAGAATTTTTCATTAAAATTCAATACACACACACACACACACATACATATGTAAAAAGATTATTAAAAATGGAAAATGATAATATGTAATACTAATATCACATCTGTTAAAACCTAATTAATTTTCATGTTAACACAAAAGCATCGAGATGGACAGCTCCACTAACTTGTTGCAGCAAACACAATATGGCCATTTTGTTCTTGTCTAATGCCACACTGCTACTGCATGAGATTGAATGTATTTACTCCCAACAAATACTTCCATATAAGCATGTACCACCAACAAAACCATTGTAAAAAAGGCTATCAATGATCCAAAAAGGAACTTATGAACATGACTAATAAACAGTAAAACTATGAGATTTAAAGTGTTGTACAAAATATGCCCTTTCAAAAATAATTAATAAATAATACTGTGCAGTATAGCATCTTCTTAAGATATATGCAAATATATCTTGACATGCATAGAGGAACTTAAGCTGTTTATCTTCAAGTAAAGCTGAGAACAGTTAATTGTATATTTCCAAGAGGTTCAGACAATCTAACCCAAGAGGACATATTTGGTGCTTATTTGGTGGGTATGAATTTGTTTTACAATTTTTTTTGAATACATTGAATGTATTCTTAAAATAATTTCAAACTAATTCATAATTTATTTCCTAGACCACATATGTAAAATTGTCTGATATGATAGATACCACACCAAACAAATTAAATAGCTTTCTGCTAATCAAGTAAAAATAAACATGTTAAATATTCAAGATACGTGGGCAAAGCTCATAATATAACACAGTTTTTACTTGTGTGTGAGAACACACACATACTTAAAATGTGACTTCACATACTTTGTCTCATCTTCGATGGGATTAAAATTATTGCCAAATTCCAGCATGTACTGAATATTCCTTTCCCTGCTTAAGAAAAGCAGGACATCTGCAACTCGAGGTCATGGATTCCATGAAACATTCCTCAAGTGCACCAAACCTGTAAACAACAACTTCCTAGTGCACATACTCCCTGGCCAAACATGCACATGTGCAACAAGGAACATGTGACCATCCTGAGGCAGGTTCGACTCCTCTTTCTGCCTCCCTCCTGTGGCAGCCCTTTGCAGGAAGATGAGTTGCAAGTGGCCTCAAGCCCCAGCAGGCCAGAAGCAGCCCCCACCCCACCCTACATTCCTGCCGCCCTTCCACCTTGGCAAGCCAGCCTCAGGTGGCCATGCCCTTTGGCCTCGCTACAGCCCAATAGGGATAACGCCACAAGCAGGGGCTCGCTCTTTCTAGCTCTTTCCAGCCCCTGGGTAGACACATTCCCGGTCTTTTCGCACTGCCAGGGCCAGGTCCCTCCTGGACGGTCAGGACAGGCGTTCCCCACCTCTGTGTCGCTTCCAGCAGAAAGAGGGACCGGGGTGGGGAGGGGGGAGGCGCCTTACCAGTCCGTCTGAGGCTCGTCGATGACCAGGAGCAGCTTGAACTTTTTGGCTGCCGCTGAGGAAGACGAGGAGGCGTCCACAAAGCCCGCCGAGGCTGCCGTCTGCTTCACGGCGTTGGAGAGGGAGCTGAAGAAGCTGCTGCCCACCGACTGCTGCTGCGGCGGCGGCGGCAGCGGCTGCGACGGCTGAGGCGGAGGTGCTGCCGGCTGCGGCGGCTTGCGCTCCAAGGCCGGGGAAGAGGACGAAGGAGATGCCGAAGAGGCAGCCGGAGGGGGAGGCTGTTGGGGCTCCGGCCGCTGCAGGTCGGTCATGTACCCATTGGGCAGGTTGGCGATAAAGCTGCTGTCCGAGAGCCTGCGCCGCAGAAAGTTCATCATTTGGCCGCCGAGCCGAGGGAGAAGTGGCCGACGATGAGAGGTGAGAAGAGCAGAAAGGAAGGTTCGCTGGCGGCTTTTCCGCTTTGTCCGCCGCCTTGCTGGGTGCCGGAGAAGGAGGGAACAGGAGCGCTGCCGCTGCTACGTGCGGGAGCCGCCGCGGCTGCTGCTAATGCCGCCGCTTTCCCGCTTGTCCCGCCCTCCCGTCTCTAGGTGGCAGCCGCCCAAGCCGTTGCCGCCTAAGCCTAGCCTTGCCTTGCCTTGCCTCGCCTCCCTTGCTCTGCTCTGAAGGCGGGCGGAGGGAAGCGGCGCTAAACCGCGCCCTTATTGCCTGCCCCGAAATCAACGGGGGTCCTCTTGAAAAGCCCGCCTTCAGTCACCGACTCCCGTCCCTCGGCGGGAAAGCTCCGCCATCCTCCCCGCGCGTAAAAACTCCTCTCAAAAAAAGAGCCCTGCTCCTGTTTTTCCACCCTGCGCGTTTAGTTGGGAGATGCTGCGGGGGGAGGGGGCGAGGTCTCCGCGGACCAGGGTCAACTGCTGGCTCTGACCATTTTAAAAAGCGAGGCTCCGCTTCATCCGTGCAAAAGAGGGTAGCTGTCAAGGGAACGCGAGATCGCCATGGTACCTGTGGCCCCGGCACTGTCACGCAAAAGGCAGCTTCACATAGGTCCTCAAGAGATCCAAGCTTTGTTTAGGATCTTGAAGGGCAGCATCGACACGAAGGATTACCCTGAACTTGTTTTAAGCCTATCATCTGGAAGTGGCCTGGACGTTATAAAAACAACAGCCACCAAATGTTTAACATTCAATAGCCAAATCGGTGCCTGGGAATCTCAGCATGAAAGATATTTTAACAGAAGACAAGCATTTACACTGTAGAGGTATTACCACACACCCTTAAGGGCAAAGTCACATTAGGAAGCTGTCATGGAGAAGGTCCTCCTTAGTCCCTACCAGCTGTATCCTGGGCACCCTGATGGAAGGAGCGCTTTCTCTGTCCAAGTTTTAATTTTTATATGACATAATTTCTCAGACTATACCCTAAAGCTTCAAGCTGAACATTTGGTAGGGAGATTAAAAACCTTTCTGAAGAACAAGATGGAAAATCTTAAATTCAGGGATGAGGGAACATTCTCACTTCAAGCAGCACATTACAGCTTCTAGCAGATATATTCAAGAGGCTACAAATAAAAGTGAAAAGAGTGCTTATTCACTGAATCTCTCTTCTACAATATCAGTATTTCTGATGTTAATCCTTGCCTATTGCTTATTTCCAGCAGCCGTAATTACCAGTAAAAGGTCATTCAAGGTGTCAGAAATAATAAACCTTCATCTTGAGCAGCTGAAGACCATCAATAACAGCCACCATAACAAAAACACCTTTCCTGGGTTGTAGCCAGACTTTATCATGTCATTTTGACATGATATATGTATTCTTAAGGTAGGCACAAATGAGATCAGAATATGGGGGATATGCTGAGCAAAGTTAAAAGTACTTTTTCCTTAGGTAAAGAGCCACACACCTTGACAACCTCTAGTTCCAGTTGTGCAGATGAGCCAAATGATGATTACACAAAAATAATCACATCTTTGAGCAAACCTTTACTTGCTAAACCTTTACTTGACATTGTAAATGTCAAGAAAACATCATTCAAATAACTGACTCTCCTTAAATACAACATAAACTTCCTGTTCATTATAAGATATTCTCCAGGACCAACACAATATATTATATTTTGCAATATATGTCTAATTTGGGGAGGGCAATTAATGCAAAAGTATCAGCCTTTTGAATAAGAAAGTTAGCTCTGCTAGATTCAGATTCACTTATATCTTAAAAATGAAATGCCAAGAGCTTTTAGAACATATTCTGTTAAAAAAGAATATAAAGGACTGGGCTTCTTTTTGGTATTTTTCTATTACCTGTTATTAAATTCTTGGCTCAGACTTCCAGACTTCCATTATTACCTGAATACATTTCTGGTTGAAATTGAACTTGGCAAAAGAAGAACTCAATGGGTCAAAACTAAAGCTGGAATATATAATTTGAAGCCAAGCATGGGGGGTGGGGCATGCATGGGGAGGGGAGAATATTTATGTATGGCAAATTTACCTGTCACTTTGACCCAGCTAGTCATGATGACCAAGCATTTTGCTGCTACAATAATATGATGATGATAAAGAAATCTATTTAAAAAAGGACAGTTGAGTTTTTAAGCTCTGTTTTATACAATACAGTGTTTTCAAATGTTTTTGTCTTTATTATCTTATTCCTCTTTCTGTGAAGAGGACAGCTGCAGGAAAACTGATTTCTATCTGGAATTTCTTTGAGATCTACAACATTACCAAATATTACCAGTTTATTTTGCTTATTATTGCACCTGTGTTTATTGTATGCTTATATTAATTTTTGTATGGTATGGTTATAAGCTTATTTATAGCCATACTATTGGAAATCACCTTTATAGCCATAAAGTGAAGTTTATAAATACTATTAATTAAGATAAATATAAATAGCAGTACTGTTTTAAATACCATTTTATAATGTTCTTAACTTAAGCATTTTTGATAAGCTTCATGCAGTTTACTGGCCTTTTTCTGTGAATGCTAAACACTGTCAGTTTGCTTCTCCTAGAGTGGTATGTTAGTCATCAAAATCAGTTGATCTTGATACAGTAGCTGCCAACTCTATAAACATCTAGCTCTGCATGTGGTTAAAACAACTAAAGGAGGAATTTTTAAGTAGGCACCATATGCTAAATGAGTTTATAAATCCATCCTGACAGCCGGTTGGGATCAAGCAATCTCAGGTTTTGTATGATGATCTATATTTGCGGCAATTTGATAACTTATTAACACCAGATCCAGTGAATAAATCTGAATCTGTGGGTGGAGAATGTATTCCAAGCTGGCTTAATTGCTGCAGATTTTTACAGTGCAAGCTTTCTTTAAACATCCCCATGACTAAACTATCCTGAGCTGAATGCTATCACCCTAGGATAATTTGATTAACTGAAACATGCAGCCAAGTGAAATGGGGAGTTTTACTATGCATCACAGTCATTGTACAGCTCAAAGCATGGTCTAAAATGGTCGTCTATAATCTCATGTTTGATTCTTTAAATAAATCTTGGTGTATCAGTTCTTCTGCAGCATTCTTTTTGAATTCTTCTTTCGAATTCTTCAGAAGAAGAAATCAGAAAAGAAAAATGGAGTGGAATCAAAGACTGAAGATGACTAAGGGAATCCATTTCCTCAGGCCTGACAGTCGATTTACACAAAGAAGGTTTGCAGTGGGAACTTTGTGTACGTCCTGAATGCAACAAAAATATTTTCAATCAAAAATATAGCTCTTCTCACCTCTCTACCATTCTGCCACTATTGTTACAGTTGCTACTAATTTTAGTTCACATTTTTTTAATTAAAGGAAAAACAGAAATAAACATTTTATTTATTTTATCAATTGTGATGTGAGGTAGGAGAAAACAATGATAAGCTCAAGTTGAATGATTACTTAATTGTAACATTATAGTTTAATTACTAGGCTACAACAGCTGCCAGTATTCATTAGGTACTTGATTCTGACAGTATTTAGAACTTTCTTTTTTATTCCACATTGTAATCAAAAACAAAAACTCTCCCATTAAATTTGGATTGTTGTTACTGCCATCCTGAAATATTTGTTTTAAATATCTATTAAAAAACAATAAGGATTAAATGTTTAGCTGGATCATAACAATTTACAAACAGAAAAACACTAATATAATAAATTTCTAGTAAATTTTGCACTAGTTTTTTCTACACAGTAATTACAATAATATTTTGTTTCCTGTTCATTCTGTTTTAATAGAGTGACACATAATCATTTCCTGGATGGCTAAATAAATTCATACTTTATTATAACATTATGCTGTCCATGGTGCTGCACTGTAGAAAATTGACAAATCTATCATAGCACAACATTATCCATATAATGAGAAGACTGGAATAGAGTTGCTTGTCCATATAGCTTTGTCTACCCAAAAGAATGGAAAAGAAAGATTTTAAATACAGGTAAATTTGATAATTTTTGAAAAGTTAATATATATCACTTATCTCAAAGAATATGTTTTTATACATACAAAAACAACTTGAATTGTCATTTTCAGTTTGAAAATTAACATTTTGATAATGAGACAATAACATAACATACCTACAGACCAAAGTTCTATGAAAACTGTACAATATACAGAAAATATGTTAATTTTTGTTCATGAAAACAATTCCCTTGATGTTGGCGAAGGTGAAGGTTGACCTTGGATCTCTTTGTATGTAGAGAAATGCATACATAACCTTATAGAAGGAACTCGAGGTTCCTCTAGAATATATTCCACAATGTGACAAAAGGTCAAATTCAGCAAATTCTGAAATAGGTGAGCATGGTTTTCTAGCAATGTATAAGAAGTCATAAAAGTCAAGAAGGAAATGGAATGCCTCTCCTAATAAGCAAGACAAAAAAGTGCAAGCTGTTAGGAATGTAGGGAACACAGAAGAATCTGTAGTGCAATTGGAAAATGTGAGAGCTGAGGTGCCAGCTGGAGTTTGTCAGAGTTGGCAGCGCTGAAACATACAACAGCTGCTCATTTTCAAGCCTATCAAGCTCCATAACAAGAACCCAGGAATTCATGGGAAGGTCTAGAGAAAACATCAAGCAATGGGTATAGAAGTCATTGACACTTTCATGGACAGTGGGGAATTAACTACTATGTCTGGATTTATTCTTGTGTGAAATAAATATTCTCTGGTTGGGCCAATCTGTGAGACTTCTGACAGAACTAATCAAGTTAAGTGCTCAGAAGATCTGCCATCCACTGCCAAGGATTCTGATAACTAAAACATGAAAGAGAGCAACCTAACCTATATTCAAAGTGGAAAACTAGCCAGTAAGTAGATGGGCAATCAGAGAATAAATGAATCAAAGGGATGTTCAAAGATGATATGGAAACTGCAAAATAACTGGATTC